CTTGAGAAATTCCCAAGTCATTAAATATTCTTTCAAAATACGATTTTCAGTGACCTCATAATATTCTGTAATGTTGGTGTCCTATAACTCCTTTGGGCAGTGCTCCACCGTTGGGGACTGATTATACTGTTTGCTATGATGAATAACCATGCGGTGAACGTCTTGGCGTGCTTGGCTGCTGATTTTCCTGGGATGAGTTCCCAGAGTGGAGTTATTGGCCAAAGGCTATGAACCTTTCAAAAGTCTTTGCGAGACTAGGTCAAATGCACCTGCAGGAAGGTTGCCCTACTTCACACCCCCTTCCACCGCACAGAGAGGCCTGTGTGCCAGCCCCTACTAACTCTGTCTTTTGGTCAATGAGGTATATTTGAGACACGACCCGCCGCCCCCCAGAACCTGGCTCCTCCTTGAAAAGACTCAGGGTGGATGGCAGCCGCCACCCCACATTTGATGTTGAAGGTCTGTCTCCGTGCAGGGGCTGGATTTGTTCTTTGAGGCTTCCGGGATAAGGTCCGCACCAACGGCATGAAGATTTCCCTAGTGATTATAGGATTAGAGACTCCAAGGAACGGACTTCCCCTCCTCACCCCAGGGAGCAAGGTCTGTGCCTCAGTTCTGTTGAGGCTGAAGCGCTCTTTGAGGTTCAAAGACCAGACGGCAGGTTAGACCCCTACCACGGGGGCAGTTCTGTGAACTGACCATCTCCACAGTGATGCTGACATTATGAAACACTGAAAAGCCTTGACTCTGCTCCTTAGACGCTTTCTGAACCTCCGCTCCCTCAGCTGTAAAAGGTGTTATGTGAGGATAAAATTTGATCTCAGGAGGGGTCACCGTTAGCATCAGTGTGTCAGAATGAGAGTGTAGAAGGCAGTGTGGTGTGGCAGTTACTAACCAGACCTGCGCTGGGTCTCAAGTCGTCCCCCCCCCATACAGAAATGGGAACAGGGGGCGCCTTGGGGGCTCGATCGGTTAAGTGACTTCGGCTCAGGTCATGATTTCACAGTCTGTGACTTCACAGACATTGGAACAGAAAACAGTGGCGTTTTGGGGGGGGTCTGGGGTGGGGATTGTTCCCATGTAAGAAAAAACCCAACAGAACCAGCTTCCTTTAGAACGCCTAGTGTGTGCATTTTTTTTTATTTATTTGGGCTTTAATTTTTATGTCCATTGGAGTGATAATTGTCCAGAGTTCATAAAGCCCAGGGCTACTTTGAGGTCTAGGGTACAAGTGGCTTGTATCGGCTTGTGAGAGCCCGTTGCCACGCCGATTGGTCAACATGGCCGTTATTAAAAACCAAGTTATGCAAACTTGCAATTAAATAAATTATATCAGAAACAGAGGTACTGAATGTTAATAACTCATTACTCCCTGGTTACTTTACCACTCTCTGTGCTCTTGAGGAGACTGGTGTCTATTATACGCACATGGTAGAAAGCTTACGTAATGGGTCTGTTGTGAGGCTTTTCTGACTCTACTTTTGGTGACATCACCCTAGTAGATTACAATTAGCGTAGTGGGAATATTTTTGCCACTGGGATTGGCAAATGCTCCAAACCAGGGCCTTTTTCCCTCGGAGAACCAGTTAAACAGTTACCAGCACAGGACTGCCTGTAACCAATCCCTCTCCCCCTTTGCTACACACCCCGAGGGGAACTCTGTTCCTTGCTTTTAGCTGTTTCTTTTTGCACTTATCCCCATATTTCTTAATTATATGCTTTCACTGCCTTGTCTGGATTTTTTTAAATCTTAGACATTGTGTGTTGACTTCCTATTATGGAATTTGAGGATCTGGCTCTCTTCCAGCTCAGTCTCCCCTCTTACTACACACACACACACACACACACGCACACACACACACGCACACGCACTTTCCCTACCTCTGTGCCCCCAGTATGTTATAGTGTAACTCTTGTTTAAATAAATATTCAGGATTTATATTATTACAGCTATGTAAATGTTGTACATAAATCATTATCACTATGATTTACATTCGCTTTCTTATACAGCCTTCTTCCTGGGGTTAATAATTGTGTTTTTTAATTTACTTGATTTCTCCATAGAACAATGGTTTTCAGACATTTTTTCTTAGCAGTGGAACTCGTGTTGCAAACAAAATGTTATGTAGAACCCTACGATATAAACAGGAAAAGCAGGGTTGCCAGGTCGAAAGTGGGGGGATCTTCCCTTGAGGGCTGCTATTATGTGCAGCCAACCAGGTCACACACTGCACAACCCTAGGGGGTCACCGTTCACATAAGCAACAATGTGATTTAGTCCTGACAGTCGTAATTCCCCACCCCACTGGGGAATGTCTCCATTGTGTAAGGCGAGGTCCACCTGGGGTGTACATTACATCAGGATCATTCTCAGCTTTAAAAAGACGAATTCCTTTCCCAGTGCAGGGCTCTGACCTCGCCCCATTCTCAGTGGACTCCAGTGATGCCGCTTAACCTGTCCGTCCGGTGCATCACCCACACAGGCTGCTGGCCAGAAGCTGCTTTTAGCTGATGGCCACCTATCGACTGACTCGGTGCCCCTCAGATTTGCCTGGGCTGGGCCGGGCTGGGCGCCAAAAGCTTAATGCAGAAGATTTGCTCGGGGACCGCTCAGATGCAGCCTTTGGGATCAGATGTTAGGGACGGCTCTGTCAGAGGGGGGTGTGAGCTGTGGGAGCAGAGAGCGCAGTGCCTGTCTGCCCTTAGAGGTCAGACTGCACGAGGGGAGTTGGCCAAAATGAGCAGAGTGGCCTTCGAAAAGCTTAGCCTTGAGGGTTACCCCTCGGCAGGAACCCCTGATTGGCCTTCCGCCGGGTAAACTCGTGTGAGTTGCTTAAGCTCTCTGGGCCTGAAGGTCCTCATACCTGAATCACAGGGTGTGTGAGAGCCAAAAGAAGATCATGTGTAACCCTGACCAAAGCCATGGTCACATGTGGCTCAGTCTCTGCTTAGAGTCTCGTTTTAAATTTTTTTTTTTTTAACGTTTATTTATTTTTTTGGGACAGAGAGAGACAGAGCATGAACGGGGGAGGGGCAGAGAGAGAGGGAGACACAGAATCAGAAACAGGCTCCAGGCTCCGAGCCATCAGCCCAGAGCCCGACGCGGGGCTCGAACTCACGGACCGCGAGATCATGACCTGGCTGAAGTCGGATGCTTAACCGACTGCGCCACCCAGGCGCCCCTAGAGTCTCGTTTTAAAGAAATAGTCGGACAGCCCAAAAGTCATTAAAATAGGCTTTCCAGCTCTAACTGCATCCCCCCATAAAATGGCAAAGGGGACCATTTGTAGCTGGTGTTGGTACACCCCAGTCCCTTTTCGTCCATTCTGTAATTTTCCCACAATGCACAATGTCAGTGGAGCTCTCCTGAGTACCCCTCGGGTGCTGTTTTCCTCTCTCTCTTTCTCCACCATTGCCACTTTCTCTTCGGTCTGTTTTTTCTCTACCCGTCTCACCGTTGCCGTGTCACAAAAAACGCAGCTGATCTGGAAATGAGCCGATGGAGATTCGGACAGGAAGTGGGTGGGGAGAGGTCATAGCAGGACACATGTTCTGAAATAACCCCACCGTACCGGTGAGGCAGAGGGCACGCGAGCAGAGGCTTTACAAAAATGGACTGTCTTCTTCGTTATTCAGTTGAGGAACCTAAAGCAGGGAGGTATGACCGGCCTAAGGTGCCTCTGAGGACCTAACCGCTCTTAGCCAATGGGCGGTGACTGGGAAGATCCTTCCTATTTCCTCCGATGCCCCAAAAATCTAGCATTAAAAAGCCTGGGGATGGAAACACAGCTTCTGCCTGTCATTTTCCTTCCCTTCATTAAACGGACTTCCCTTCCCTTCCCTCCCCTCCTCCATCTTTTGTGGAATCAATTCCCTTTGAAGGATGTCTTTCAGGTCATATACCTAGCACATAGTGCGTGCCGGGCTTGTAAGGAGCTGGACAATCAGAGACAAGAGACAGGTACTGTCCTCAGTTGCTCACAGACAAATAGAAGCAGGCTGCAATGGTGCATGACGGTGCCTGTAATAGAAGGAAGCACAGAATGCAATGACCACATAGAGGAGGAGCTCTTAACCCATTCGGGGATCAGGGCGGACTTCCTGGAGGAGGTGTCATTATCTAATCTGCATGAGAATACTACTACCATCATATATTGAGCATTCACTATGATGATAATCTACACACCAAGCACTTTGCTAGGCGTTAGCTCATTCGGTCTTCACAAAAGGCTAAGAGGCAGGTGTTACTGCCCTCATTTCAGAAATGAGGAAACTGAAGCTCAGAGAACTTCACTGACTCTCCCAAGCCCACGTACCTAAAAAGTAGCAGAGCTGTAATGCAAACACAGGCCTGTGTGACTCCATAGAGTATGCTTTGAACCACAGGGCACTGGGTACAGGTGTTTAAGATACGCACTGAACAAGCATCCACATCTGGGAGCGGCACTGGTCACATCGTAGGCAGAGTAACTTATATGATAGTGTTTAGGTGGACCCAGAGACTCAGGCCTCTTTGCTGACTCCTGGAGCAGCAGGAAGGAGCCTCCTGCTGACCCTGGCGCCTCCCTAGAGGGCAGGGGGGGAGTATGGGCACTGGGGGGAGTATGAGAGCACATGCCCCGTGGCTGGATGTGTGGACTGCCACGCCTGCTGCCCTCTAGGCTCTGGTTGTTCAGGTGAACAGGAGCATCTTAACTTGAAACTTTCACTTGGGGAAGGGGTACCTTCTCCTAAGTTGCACAGGGGTATGGTATGGACCAAGGGTGTATCACTCTTCTGTGTCCCCTGCCCCATTACCATTCAGGGTTGGGGAGGACACAGCCACAGAACGATTTGGACCAACCTGGTGCAGAAATGCAGAGGTGAATAAGATAGTGGGTAGGTCCTCGAGGACCTTCCAGTCCAGTTTAGAAGCCCAGAATAAAGGCTGTCCTCTCAGGGCCACCCTAGGCCCGTCAAACTAATCCCCTGCTCTCTCTCTCTCTCTTCCTCCTCGGCAGACGGGCAGGATTGAACCCAACTACCCCAAGGTCTGTGGTCACCAAGGCAACGTGCTGGACATCAAGTGGAACCCATTCATTGACAACATCATTGCCTCGTGCTCAGAGGACACGTCGGTGAGCAGGAAGGGGCCTCCCCCCTGCTTCCTCCTGGAGGCCTCCCTTCCTAAACTCCTCTCTTTCTCCGTCTTTGCCCTTCTTCTGTCGTCTTTGTCACCCTTCCAGCCAGCCCCGGGGTGGGGAGGGAGCTAGGGAAAGGACGAAGAGAGCGAACCCACGGACCGTTTGGCAGATCTTGTGCTTTGAGTGTGATTTCCTTTGGAGGTGTCGATTTGGTAGGTGAGAAGTAAAACAAGGAGTTTAGGTACGTGATTCGGCACTCGTCGGTGGTCTCAAAAGGAGACCTTCCTCCCTGTGTGTGGTCTCCCTCCTGCCCACCCTGGGCTGGGAAGGACGCAGCTGGAGCTGGTGGGGCGGGAGGGCTCAGCGGTCGGTGCGCCAGGCACTGGGCTGGGCGGGAGAGGGGGGCCAGTGGGGGAGCCGTCCAGCCTTCTCGTCCGGGTGCAGAGAGCCCACAGAGGGGCGCGGCGACCCCAGCCAGCTCCGTCCCTGCCTGCTGAGGTGTTGGCGACAGTCATCAGCCGTGGGGGGAGCAAACACGCTGAAAGTGGGGGCTGCCTCCTACGGAGCTCCTCCTCTCAGTCTGAGCTGGAGTGTGGCGAGTCCTCCTGTGTGACAGGGGCACTGCCGCCCCCAAAGTGAGGGCCGGGAAGGTCACACAACTAGGAAGCCGAGGAGCAGTCCTCTAAGAGCTGGCTGGACAGCCCGTGCTCTCCCTGCTCAACCAAGTGACGTCATGACACGAGTCCACACCGTCCGAGCTGGAAGCCTCTGCCCGCCCCCCACCCCGCCCCGGTGTCCCGTGTCTCACCAGGGCAGCCACCTGGGAAAGAGAGGAGCAGTGACCAGCTTGACCCGGGGAGGGACAGACAGGCCAGGGCTCTCGGAGCCCTGGCTCCACCTCTGGTCCAAGCTTCTGCCTGACTCAGCGGGAGGGAGGAAGGGTCGCTCGCCCTGACGGCCCTGCCCGGTTCTAGCTCAGCACCTTCTTGCTCTGTGAGTCAGGTGCCTTTTGCTCCAGGAGCCCGGCCAATAAACCAGCTCTCCGCGCCCCGTGTCAGGAAAAGCATGAGGCCCCGGCCCCGACCACACCAGCCGAGCGGCCCTCTTCAGTGTCACACGCACTGACCGAAGGACCGCTGTGTGCCCGCCGTGCTCCCGGGTGCTGCCCTTCAAAGGGAGCTCGGCTGTGGAATCCCACGGGCCGGGATTGAATCTTGGCATCACCGCTTGCCAGCTGGGTGACCAAGGGCGTGTGACTTACCCTCTCTGAGCCTCAGCTTTGCTCCTCTGGGTAACGGCAAGAGTGATCCGTGTCTCTGGCAGCCACTGTGAGGGGGAAAGGAGGTCTGTGCCCAGCATATGCCTGCTGGTCTCTGTGCCGCTCCGGAAACATCACCAGCAGAAGGGCGCCACTCGCTGAAGCGCAAGGCAGAATGAAGTCAGAGCGCTAGGCACACGGGGAGGCGGGATTCGTTTTGCCGGAAGTGCAGGCAGGGGACAGGGAGTTAGGGAAAGCTAACTGCAGGCAGAGAAGGGGCTGAAGGAGGCCCGGGGAGAAGGCACAGGCCTGCGGGCAGGGGCGGGGGGTGGGGGTCATAGTCCCCGGGCCACTGTAACAAAACACCAGACTGAGTGGCTTGTAAAGTGAGTCACTTGCTCACAGTGCTGGAGCTCAGGTCCGAGATCAGGTGCCAGCGTGGTCAGGGAAGGGCCCTCTTTTCCTTGTAGGCCCACATGGCAGACGGGGCTGGGGTCCCTCTGGAGGCTCTGAAAAGGGCACTAATCCCACTTTTGAGGGCTCCACCCTCATGAGTTAGTCACATCCCAGAGGCCCTGAGTCCGCATACTGTCAGCTGAGGGGGTAGGATTTCAACACGAGTAGGGGACGCTGTGCACCCCAGGGATCAGGGAAGGGGAGCTGGCGGGCCGGAGGGCTCACGGCTGGCTCTGTAGAGGAGGCCCCCCACCTCCCGGAGCCAAACAAGCCCTGGAATGTGGCTTGGCCACCCCAACGCTGGAGTAGCCCCTCCCGGAGAAGGTCCCTGAGGCCCGAGGGGAAGCACCCAGTCCAAGGTCACGCAGGGAGGCGGGGCACAGGTGGGGCCAGAGCCCAGGTCTCCAGACTCCCAGGCAGCACTCCTCAGCACCTCACCAACAGTCTTAGGTTTACAGATGAGGAAACTGAGGCTCAGCGCCGCGAAGGCTGGCAGTTCAGATCCGTCAAACACTCAGCATTGACATCTCGGTGTCTTGTCTGAGCAGGCCCCGTACCGGGAACCCACCGAGGGCACACTGAGGGGCGGCATCCTCCACAGGTCCTGGGATGTGCGGGGGAGGAGCCCGCAGCTCCCAAGGTCAGGTGAGGAGGCCAGTCAGACCTGCCTCCATCAAAGCGCCTCGAGGGGCAAGCCACCGAGACACCCTTCCTCAACCCACTCCGGCCCAAATGATCAACTTCCTGCACACCAGACGTGACATCCAGAACCAGGGTTAGGAGGTCAGTCAGCAGACCTACTAAGTGCCAGGCGCTACTCACGGGGGGCTAGGGAGGGGACCCGCCGGCAAGGGCTAGAGAGGAGCTGTTCGAAGCAGATCCAGACCACGTCTCCAGGCGGTGCCTGCCCACCTCTTCTCACCCCTCCACTGCCCTCTGCTTGTCTCTCAGAACGTCCAGAGGACACTGAAGGGAGCCAGAAAGCCCTCCCAGCTCCGTAGCTCCTTTCCCATATGCCCCATCCCTGAAAATCCTCCAGTGAAATCCATCCCCTACGCCCCGACCCTCCCCCAGGGAGAGAGGAGGGCCTCGGGAGTCTGACCCCGTCCCGCCAGAGGTCCAGTGGAACATACCCAGGCCCTTTCCCGAGGGGCTCCCGTCCTGAGGGAGAGATAGGGGCCATAACTCTCCCTGGCATCTGGCAGAATCCAGTTCTTTCCGCCGCTGGGTGATGTCACCTATTGTTGAACGGCTGTGCTTTTTATAGCTTCTGCTGCAGCTCGGGAGGGTGGCTGGCAGGCGGCGGGGAAGGGCTCTATGGGTTTCCAGCCTCGTGCTCCTAGCCTTCCCAGAGGGCCAGCAGCTGCAGAGAGAGGGAGAGGTTTCTGACATCTCAAGGAGAGGGAAAGGGTGGTCCCGGGGAGGGGCGGGGTGGGGGGAGAGGGAGGCAGGCCCCTCTCCCGGGCGGGCTGAGCTCAGCAGCTTTCCTCTGCCTTCTCTTCCTCTGCTCCTTTATCCAAAGGCTGCCCTCCCTCCCCACCCCCACCCTCAGAGAGGATGCCCCTCTCCCGAGGCACTGTGAGTGGGATGGGGCAGGATATCAGCCCTGCGGGGAAGCAGCCAGAAGCCACCCACCACCCTGCCCTTCCATACACACACACATACACACACCACCCTCTAGAGAACCAACACTTCTTGGAGCTAAGAAGGGAGCAACATACCCCTTTCAGAGATGGAAGGACAGGCACCCTGAGAGAGGTCGATGGCCTGGCTGAGGCCTCACCGACAGACCTGCCACTCAGGCTCAGGAGTCCATAGGCCTGGGTTCAAATCCTGGTTCTGCCCCTTCCCAGACCTGTGACTTTGGACCAGTTTCTTTTAACTCTCTGCACACAAGTTGCCCCCTGTAAAATGGAGATCATACTGGGCTCAGCATCAGAACGAAATACACCATGGTTTGTGTTTCTTGTCTACTGAGAACTCTCTCTAGAGCCCCTGGGGCAACCAGAGAGCTGGAGTCAGAGACCCAGCGCTCTTTCCATGTCATTCTTTGCTCGCTGGGCCCCCAAATAGGCCTTCTGTCACTGGTTTCGGGGTAAAGATGAAGCTGAATGGTGAACCTCAAAATCCAAGAGAGAAATCCCCCCACCCCTTCCAAACCAGGATTTCAGGGGTGATTTCGCATCTACCCGGCTCACCAGCAGCTGGCGTAAGGGCTCCGCCAGGTCAGGGGATGACTCATGACTCATTGCTGAACCTGCTGATGATGTGATAGCAAAGCTTCTGGGCTTCTAGGATTCTTCCATTGCCTCATTCATTCAACAGGTATGTGCCAGGCACCGTTCCTTGCGCTGAAGGCAAGGATGGTGACAGGGGATCCTACCCCTGCATGGAGGAGTCGACCATCCAGTGGGATGGCCTGGCAGGTTGTCTGGGCCCTGGCACTGGGGAGCTGCTCTCTTTTTCGGAATCGATAGGCAGAAGGACAAATCGTGTCCTCTCTAAGGTGTCAGATTCGGTCCAGGAGAGAAGGAAGGAATGGGGGAAGCTGCTGAGGTCAGAGCGTGGATTTGAACGGAGCTGGTTAGACTGCAGAGCTCTCCCTTTGTTCGCCAGCTGCCCCCTCCCCAGGCACAGGGACACTTGGTTTTGTAACTTTATTAACAATCCTTATCAGCCGTCTCCCGTTAGCCTTGTCTGCCCTGCCTGCTGTCTCCCCCACAAAACTGTGAGCTGCTGAGATGAAGGATACCCTCTCCTGCCCCGTATCTGGTGTGTGTGACATAGGGAGCCATGGAACATATTTGGTTGCATTGAATGTAGCTGAGTTAAACAGGGCTCTGAGCCAGGGCCCTGAAAAGGGGCGCAGCTGGCTTGCTAGAGAGAGTGTTTTGCCACCTTTCTCCACCCCTTCCTTCCAGAAATCTGGTTTGTCTGCCCTTACCAGGTTTCCTGTTGAATGGAAGTAACTTTCCAGAGCAACCTCTGAGCCGATCCCAGCGGCTTAGGCCCACTGTGAACTCACTCCAGCTCCTCCTCTGAGCTCCCATGGCACACGGTGCCAGCTATGTGCTATAGCAGGAGACCCAGCGTCTCGCCCCCTCGCCAGTGATACATTCGATGATGTCAAATGCAGGGGACTTCAGGAGATTAGTATGGCCTCAGCGTGCAGATGAGAAAACTGGGGCCCAGGGAGGGAAGTGGCTGGTATCAGATGGGGGTGAGGCGAGGTGCCTCTCTCCCTCTCCGTAGGACATTTTCCATCGGGTTCCCCAAGCCCTGCCAGGGACCCTACACCTAATAGTCATTGGTGGAAACAGCTCTTTGGGCCTTCCCCTGCAGGCCTCGGCTCCATGGATGGGACTTGGATCCAGTTCAGAGGCACAGACACAACCTGCCGTCCCCATCCCCTTGGCTCAGCCCCTGGGTCCCTAGGCCGAGCTGTCATCCCAGCAAATCCGCTGCTGTGGCTAGAAAGCCTCAGACTCCCACGGACATGAAGCCCAGTGTAGTCTGACCCTACATGGGGCACGTGTCTCTCTTCATCATCTAGACAAGGAGCCTGAGCCTCAGAGAGGTGACCTGGCTTTCCAAGGTCATCCAGCAGCGAGTGGGATTAGAACCTGGGCGGATCCCCACTTCACAGCTTCCCTCGCGCCTCTACCTTAGCCTGGTGTGGGAAACGCCTCAGTTAGCTGACGCTCAGGAATTGGACTGTTCTGGAAATGGGCTCTTCCTGAGACCCGGCCCAAGAGAAGCTGCTTCCTGAGGCCTCCGTGACTAGGTGTGACACACATGGCTTCTGGCCTCCTCCGTTCCCTGCCTGCTCTCTCCCGGCCTGCTCTACCCCGCTCAGGCTGCGGTTCCCCCAGCCACCGTGCCGGAACCCCCCATGCACACTGGTCCTGTGTCTGTCTCCTC